TGTGTGTGTGTCTATGAGAGGAACTGGGTGGTGCAGGTGTCAGTTGTAGGACAATCAGATCAGATCAGCTGTAACAAACTCTGCTGTGATGAGATTGAAGCTGAAAGGCTTTTAAAAGCATTGATTTGGACGAGGGAAGCCACGCCCACACCAAGTGAAGAGTAATCCCTTTTTCTCTGAACTACAGAAAAGTTAAAGCGTCGTTCGCCTCGGCTCAAACTAAATTCAGCTGCATTAAGGCTGCCCCAACAGAAGCTGTAAAACATGCTTTCCACTCTGTCACAGGCTGCTAACACCAGCAAAGTTGTCCTGACGTGTTGTGCAGGCTTCATGCTTGTGCACGTTTGTCAAAGACAGCCTGTCTGCAACCGGCTGTTACCATGGAAACAGAGAACTGAAAAATACAGCGAGAAAGAGGTGAATGACTACCAGAGAGAGTGAGTATTTGCTCATGCGCTAACTATTTCTGTGCTCAGGTTGAAAACACCGTGGAAACGTGTTGGTTTCAGTGACCAGCAGCGGCTGCAGGAGCCTCGAGCTGTGTAATGCCTTCAATATGTGGCATCAGGTGCATCAGCGCGCTCATGCATGGAGGCAGAGATCGTTACACAACTAAAATCATCATCATTCGCTAAAAATTTCAACTGAAGGTTTCAGTTTGTCACAAATGCTAATCTGACAAACTGTGTTAAGATGCCGGTGCAGAAGCAGAAGGTTTCCTGTATTTTATCTACCGAAGCATCCGAGCTCAGCACCTGGGTAACGCCGGCTCATTTTTAGAGACTTTTTCCTACTGAGGAAATCCAAATGGTAAACGGTTCATTCCAAAATCACCATATGGGACTTTTTTTGGACTGTGGCTGAAATGAAACTCTAAATCTGGACAGATCCTGATGACCTGCTGAGGTCACCAGAAGGTCAGAAGGTCAGGTTAGGATCTGAGTTGACCTAATCTTGTGCCATACAAGTGTTTTTCTATAAAAGTCCTACAAATAAAAAGATTTGTTTTGTCTTTTAGTTGACGACACTGTTTCAGTTATATTGTTGGTTTATGATCAGAGCCTAAATACAATGAATTTGCTAACGATCAGAAAAATCCAGAAAAATGGAAAAAATGAGGAAAAGGTTCAAAATAATTGTTATTTTGCTTAAAGTCAACAGACTAAACATGCAGATTCGACCCATCATCAACTTCATCAGGTCTTCATAAAAACACAGAACAGTCCATCTCATATCCAAGTTTGACTGTTTTTGTCTATCAGGGAAACAAATGTGCTGTGAGGCAGATCATTTGTTTCCTGTGTTCTTTCCCGTCTTCCTGGATCTTTTCCTATTTCCTGGACTGATCCAGGATGCTCGAGTCCCTTAATGGGCATTAAACATTTGCAAACGACTTCAGAACAATAACATGGGCATCAATAAAGTTGCTTGTTAAAGCAGGAAGACTGTGTGAAGCAAACCACATGGAAGCAGCAGTGTGTCAGTGGGT